TTGTCTTATCTGTAAGGGAGAATTTACTCAAAGTGTTTCTTGGGGTAACTCTGCTGTAATATGCTACCTTTTATCTCTTTAATACCACATATTTTTGGGAAAAGTAGTATTCCAATTTATTTTATTTTGTATAGATAGTAGAATGGAGGCTAGAGTAATTTTGAAGTTATCAATTACCAACTTTTAGTATAAGAATTTTTAGTGGTTATTACAATTACAGTGTGTTGTCTTAAAACTTTTTTGCTGTGCTTTAGTAGTTGTATTTGATGAGGTGATGTTTATATTCTTGGATATGACACTAAGATTTGTTATCAGCAGCCTTTTGGCAGCTCGTCTCCAGAGATTCTCTGTATCCCTTATTATTAAATGATGCTGTATAAAGCCCTGAGGTTCTAAGAACATACTTAACTAAGAGTTGATTTTTAATCACCCACTATCCTTGTTGCAATAGCAGCAGCTCCACTTTTAAGTATTGGACTTTCATTCATGCATGCATTTTATTTTAGAGTCTACTGACAGACCTGGGCACTGTTGTAATTACGGAATTATTCCAGTGGCATGTCAGGAAGATCCCTGTGCTCAGAGATTGTCTTCTAGTGAAAGAGACAGACAATATAAAACATATAAAAGGATAATTGTGTGATAAGGAAATAACAATTCAAACAGTAATGGAGTGAGAGTAGATACATTGGTCAGGGAAAGGCTGATTTATGAATTAACATGAGGGATGTATAGCCAGCCATATAAGGAAAGAATTCTGTGACTTTAAATAGTTGGGAAAAATTAGATAACCAGTTTTGTAGAAAGACTCTTCTTTAGTTGTATTATCTTTAAAGATACACTGGTGGTTGTTTTTTCTTTTCTTTTTTTTTTTTTTTTTTTTTTTTGAGACAGAGTCTTGCTCTGTCGCCCAGGCTGGAGTGCAGTGGTGCAATCTTGGCTCACTGCAACCTCCACCTCCTGGGTTCAAGTGATTCTCCTGCCTTGGCCTCCCTAAGAAGCTGGGACTATAGGCGTGTGCCACCACGTCTGGGGTTTCACCATGTTGTCCAGGCTGGTCTCGAACTCCTAATCTCAGGTGATCCACCCATCTTGGCCTCCCAAAGTGCTGGCATTACAGGTGTGAGCCACCATGCCTGGCCCTTAAAGATAAACATTTAGTATGCTTTTACATGATGCCACCAGTACTATTCAGAAGCATCTAAAAATGCTTAAAAGTGAAAAGTAAGTAATTTCAAGAATTTCTTATTCAGAAGATGAGATCTGTTCTTTCCTCAGTTTAATATCCAAGGCCACTTAGTAGTCTAGCATGGCAGCTTTACACATTCGTTATGTCACAGTACAGTACCCATATTCCTGTCAGACTTCTTGTACTCATTGCCCTCTGAACTACGTAGTTCCCTACTTTTATGCTGTTGTTCATAATGTGTCCCTTGACTGAAGGTTGTCCTCTACTGTATGTACCACGTTGAAATCTCCTGTGTATGATGGTCTTTGTAACTTGTCTTATTCTCTCAATATAACTAAGACAGATGAAAGCATAACATGTACTTGAAGATTCCTTTGTGCTCATTTTCACTCCTTCTCAGATTGAGAAGTGAGTTCCATGTCGCTTCCAAAGTTGAAATCTTCTTGCTTAATTAGGGTCAGAAGGAAAAATTACCTGGAGACATCTACATGCATGCAGGTACCTGCCTCTGTTTCTTTTGCTTGCTGTTCTTGTAACTAATCAGCTTGGAAAAGGGTGGTACTCAGTTTTTTAATTATATTACCTACTCACCCTTTAGAATCTTAGTATAATTTGATAAATTTTCATATACTAAGTTTTACTCTAACCTGTATTTTTTTCTCTCAGAGGAATGCTTTCTTCCCTTAGAATAGCTACTTACCTAATTTAAAGATGAGAAAACAGGGAGCAGTATGGGATGTAGTCTAATTACACTGCATAAAAGTAGTTACTGGCTGGACATGGTGGCTTATGCCTGTAATCCCAGCACTTTGGGAGGCCAAGACAGGTGGATCACGAGGTCAGGAGTTCAGGATCAGCCTGGCCAAGATGGCGAAACCCCATCTTTACTAAAACTACAAAAATTAGCTGGGTGCAGGTGGTAGGTGCCTGTAATCCCAGCTACTTGGGAGACTGAGGCAGGATAATCTCTTGCACCTGGGCAGCAGAGGTTGTAGTGAGCCGAGATAGTACCACTGCACTTTTGAGATACTCCATCTCAAAAAAAAAATAGTTGTTAAGGAGAGATGTGTGCTATGATGGGGGCTTGCTTTAAATTGGGTACTCAGGAAAGGCTTTTCTGAGGATGGGGCATTTAAGCTGAGATGTGAAACTTGACCAAGAAATAGAGTAGGAGATAGAGGAGAGGTGATAGAATGTATAAAGAGTCTAAAAATCCAACTTGGCTGGGTGTGGTGGCTCAGGCCAGTCACTTGAGATCAGGAATTCAAGACCAGCCTGGCCAACATGGTGGAACCCCATCTCTGCTAAAAATATAAAAATTAGCTGGGCATGGTGGCAGGCATCTGTAATCCCAGCTATCAGGAGGTTGAGGCAGGAGAATCACTTGAACTCGGGAGGCGAGGTTGCAGTGAGCCGAGATCGCGCCATGGTACTTCCACCTGGGTGACGAATGAAACTCGGTCTCAAAAAAAAAAAAAAAAGAAAAAAATCCTTACTTTTGAAATCTTAGCTAATTCTTTAGTGAAAAGTCAGATGGCAAGGGTCAAAAAAATTAGTAACATAAGTATCTCATTTCAGACTTTGTTGTGATTATTGCAGTCCTGTACCTTGTCGAACAATATCTTACTTGACAAGTGACCATAAGGTGGGCCCCTGCCTAAGTAAAGGCGGAAACTAAACTGAAGCCCAGATTGCCTGATTGCTAGTCTGACTGCAGAGTGGCTCTTAACTTGGTTAGACCAGCCATCTCTTTTAAAAAATATTTTATATGCCTATTTTTTTTTTCTATTTCAAAAATATTTGTTAGTATTATTTTAGAGACAGAATCTCCCCTGTATATGGTCTGGAATTCATGGCTATTTTAAAAAATGGAGATGAAATTCAGTTATTTCCCCACCCAAAAGAACTCTATACCCATTAGCAGTCACTTTCATTTTCTTCTCAATGCCCAACTTCCCAATTGCTGATCTACTTTCTGTCTCTAGATTTTTTATTTTTGTTTGCTGGATATGTTATATAAATTGATTATGCAGTATATAGTCTTTTTTTGACTGGCTTCTTTTACTTACTGTTTTCAAGGCTCATCCATGTTGTGTTATATATCAGTACTTAGGCTTTTGCTTCCTGTGTTAAAAATTTACTTTAGTAAATCTCAGGTACATTAAGTTTTCTGTAAGAGAATGTCAGTATAGCCTATTCCAGATTCAGTCGTGTACAATTTTCTATTCAAAGCATCCCATGGGATTAGGTATTGAGAGCTGATGGATTAAGGACTTGTGCCTAACCTAGATAAATTAAAGTCACATGTATAGTATAGTAGATTGCTTTTTTTGGTGGGAGGGTAAGTTTTATTTATGTGTAATTCACATACAGTTCAGCCATTTAAAATGTGTAGTTCAGTGATTTTTAATGTATTCACAATTACTCAGTAGTCAGCAATGTTCTAAATCAATTTTAGAATATTGACATCACTTAGAAACCCTTTAACTGTCACCCCCCCAGTGCCCCCCTCACCCTCAGCTCTAAGAAACTGTTACTGTATTTCCTGTCTCTACAGATATGTCTATTCTGATTGTTTTGAATAAATGGGCTCATACCATACATATGTGATCTTTTGTGACTAGGGTATTTCACAGCATATTTTCGAGATTGATTCATGTTGTAGCATGTGTTAGTATTCATTTTTTTTATTGCCAAATGATACTCTATTGTATGGTTATGGCACATTTTCTTATCAATTGGTAAACATTTGGTTTTCATTTTTTGACTTTTAAGAATAATACATTATGTTTTTGTTGTTGTTGTTGTTTTTGAGACAGTGTCTCACCCTGTTGCCTTTGCCTCCTGGGTTCAAGCGATTCTCCTGCCTCAGCCTCCCAAGTAGCCAGGATTACAGGCATGCTCTGCTATGCCTGGCTAATTTTTTTGTATTTTTGGTGGAGACGGGGTTTTGCAATGTTGCTCAAGCTGGTCTCAAACTCATGAGCTCAGGCAGTCCGCCTGCCTAAGCCTCACAAAGTGCTAGGATTACAGGTGTGAGCCACTGCGCCCAGCCAAGAATAATGCATTATGAACATTTCGTGTGCAAATGTTTGGGCACATGTTTTCATTTCTTCTGGATATATACCTGGACGTAGAATTACTGGCTCATGTAACTGTTTGTTGGTGTTTTTTTGTCTCTTTTTCACTGTTTTATTCTTGTTTGCCAGTATAGTGCCAGTACATTTTAGGAACACAAGTAGATGTTTGACTCAATCAATCAAAGAAAAAATTACATTGATGGTCCATATAGCTTATTATTTTGTAAACACTGATGTTTTGTTTTAACTCAGGATTATAGCACTTGTTTATTATTAGTATTTTGTATATATCTTCAACTAATAGAGGAAATTCTGTTTTTAAGTTTTTGTTTAAGATTTAGTGGGTATATTTGCAAATTTGTTACTTGGGTATATTGAGTGATGCTGAGGTATGGGGTACTAATGATCCCATCACCCACATACTGAGCATAGTACCAAACCGTTAGTTTTTCAACCCTTACCTCCTCATTTCCTCCCCTTCTAGTAGTTCCCAGCTTCTGTTGTTGCCATCTTAATATTTTGAGACGGAGTCTTGCTCTGCCTCCCGCATTCAAGTGATTCTCCTGAGTCAGCCTCCCAAGTAGCTGGGATCACAGGCACACGCCACCATGCCCAGGTAATTTTTGTATTTTTTAATAGAGACAGGGTTTTGCCACCTTGGCCAGGCTGGTGTCGAACTCCTGACCTCAGGTGATCCGCCCTCCTAAGCCTCCCAAAGTATTGGGATTATAGGCGTGAGCCACCGCGCCCGGTCTGTTGTTTCCATTTTTATGTCCCTGAGTACCCAGTGTTTTATTTGCATATATGACATGATTTCGTTCTTTTTTTATGGCTACAGATAACTATGCTTAAACATTTTCAGGAACTACCAGACTTTTTTCCAGAGCACCTGCAGTATTTTACATTCACATTTGCAGTGTGATGAGAGGGTTCCGTTTCTCTACATCCTCACCAACACTTGTTTTTACCTGTCTTTTTGACTGTAGCTATTCTAGTGGGTGTGAAGTGTTATTTTCTTGCCGGTTTGGTTTGCATTTCCCCAACGGCTAATGCCGTTATTCATCTTTGATATGCACTTTGGGAATTTGTGTGTCATCTTTGGGAAAATGTTTGTTCAGATTTGTTACTCATTTTTAATCAGATTATTTTTATTGAGCTGTGGAGTTGTTATTGGTAGAATTAGATAAACACCGTGTCAGATGTATGATTAGCAACATTCTACATGTTGTCTTTTTTCAGACACAAAAGTTTTTATTTTTGACAGTACAAATTTATTTTTTCTTTTGTTGCTTGTACTTTCGGCGAAAACTTATGCCTGTATTTTGTTTTAAAGTTTTACAGTTTTAAGACTTTATGTAGGTCTGTAATTCATTTTGAATTTATTTTTGCATAGGGTGTGATCGAGCCGTTCAGCTCAGTTTTATTTTGCATGTGCCACCTCCCATTTTTAAACTCGTGTCGCATAATGTTTCCATAAATGAAGAACTGTGTATTTGAAGGTGGTCCCATAAGATAAGAATATATTTTTACTGTACCTTTTCTATGTTTAGATATGCTTAGATATACAAATACTGACATGTTGTGTTATAGTTGCCTGCAATCTTCAGTACAGTTACAGGCTGTATAGGTTTGTAGGCTAGACCAGGAGCATTAGGTTATACCACATAGCTGAGGTGTGTAGTAGACTCTACCATCTAGGTTGTTTTTTTTTTTTTTTTTTT